TGGATTTGTTTCTTTATTTCCTTGTGTGGGTATCATAGTTTTGAGAATGCTTGGTGAAAATCTTGTAGGTGTTGGTCTCTGTCTGAGGGGTTGGAGCAGATGCGATTGTACCTCAGTGCTTGGCTGTAGACGATGGATCGTGTGGTGGAAGCTGGAGGCATGAAGGTATGCGTAGCGGTTGGTGGGTTTTCGGTATAGGGTGGTGTTAATGTGGCCATCGCTTATTTGTATGGTGGTGTCTAGGAAGTGGACCTCCCGTGTAGATTGGTCCAGGCTGAGGTTGATGGTGGGGTGGAAGCTGTTGAAATCCACCATGGCAGGTGGCAGCAGAAGGTGATGGCACAGGGCCATTGGCAATTGAGCAATGGAGTGAACAGTGGCCAGAGCAAACAGTGAGCAGCTGGAGGAACGAGCAAGGTGCCTTCTTGCCCCCCACCTGGGAGGTGAACTCATGTGAAAGCACCTCTGAACTCAGTCTCCACTGACCAAGGACAACACCGGTGAGTGTTAATGAGGCTGTTAAGAATGCTGGAGACACAACACAGTTCATGCGAACAAACATGGCTGTGGCATCCTACTTTCTATTTAAGCAAGAGATACCACACACTACAAACTGGAGGCCAATGTGAAGTGCATTGTTACTTGTTCATCCTGAAGTTGAACACTGGTTCCGAACAAGACCAGCAAATGCTCACTATCTTTCTGCAAGAAACTCAACTGACTGGCTAGAAGCATGTGGTGCAACAGTGAAAGACTCAACAGTTGAAAATGTGAAGAACTCTCTCACCACATTCAAAAAATTTGCATACATGGCTGATGAATGCACTGATGCAAATGGTCATCAAGTATTAAGTCATTGTGTACGTTATCTTGATGTCAGTGGTAGGCCAGTAGATGCATTTCTAGATGTTCAAGTTATAGAAGACACATCGGCTGCATCTGTGACAACCCACATCTTAGAAGAGTTAAATGCTTGTCAGTTGAACCCAAACCAGATGGCTGTTTGTGCATTTGATGGAGCTGCAAACTTCTCTGGAAGACATGGTGGAGTATAAGCTTTGGTCAGAGAAAAGTGTAAACCTAATCTCTCCTATACACACTGCAGAGGCCATCTACTCCAACTAGTGCTAGTATGAGCTGCAGACTCTTCAAAAGACATTAAAAAAGCTATAAATTTAATATCTTCATTATATTTTTTTCAGCAAGGGTCCAAAAAGACTGAATATCTTGGAAAATATAGAAGATATACTGGGACTGAAGTTCAAATTAGTCCAATCTGGGAAAACTCTCTGGCTTTCTCATGAGCGATCCTTGGCTATTGTCTTAAAATTACTCCAGCCATTATTACTGACTTTGGAAAGTATCTACCAAGATGGGATGGATCTAAGTAGTGAGGCTGGTGGATTACTTTTGCTACTACGTTCAGAGAAGACTATTGCCATTCTCTCTCTTGTAAGTCAACTGTTGAAACCATTTGGGTCATTAAACAATGCCATCCAGGCATCTGCTACAACACTAGTAAATCTTTGTCCAGCATTTGAAGCTACATTTGGATCAATCAGAGAGCTATCCATTGAAAAAGTACTGGAAGAAGCAAAGACTTCAGTCCAGAAGTTGACTAATGAAGGCATTTATATTGAATCCTTAAGTGAAGAGGACAAGAAGTGTTTAAGACAACTGAAGAAGTACACAGACTTGATTCTTAAAAATCTACAACAGTGACTTCTAGATTCTACTCAACCTCTATGTAGCTTTTACAGAACCCTGGCCTATAAAACACAGACAGTTGAATGGAGTGAGGCACTACCAGCAATGGAGCTTCCATGTGCTCAGGACAAAATAGAGAATTTGAACACAGAGTGGAATATTATACAACGAATGAATGAAGATTTGACTTCAACTTTTTTTTTATCATCACTAGTAGCTCGACCCGATCTTTATGCTATGTTTCCTGGGATAAAAGAAGTAGGAATTCATCTCTTGCTACTCCCAGTCACAACAGCTACAGTTGAGTGTTCTTTTTCCTCATTGAATAGAATTTGTGTTCTGAAAGAAGTTGCCTTCTGCCTGATCATGTGAATGAACTAATGAGCATATCAATTGAAGGAATGGAAGTACCGGACATACGAAAAGCCACCAAAGATGAACGCATTGTATTTAAGAAGTTCATTAACAGAGTTGTGCAAAATTATAACAAGAAACCAAGAAGGATGTAGATGTAGTGCTTCATAGAAGGCTTGAGTAGCCAACTTTAATTTGTGTGATGATTTTAAAACATGAGTTAAATCTAATAAAATGGTCATAAAACATTTTTCAGTTTTTACTCTGGTGCCATACAGCCCACCTTCACCCTGACAGTCTCACCCCTCATCAGCTCTGACCCACCCCCTGTAAATTTGAATACCCCCCCAATTTCAATTTCTGGGGAAAACACTGGGTGAGGTTAATGCTGTTTAAAGGAATCTTTACTTCATACCGAAATAGTGCATAGCTAATGTTAATGTTAACGTTAATGTTAAGCCCATGCAAGGCCTATATACCACTTCAGTCTCACTTAAATACAGAGCTGGAAAGGAACGAATTGTTTTAACACATACACACCCCTGTGAAAATTTTCAATGGAAACCATTATTTTTGTTTTGTTTCTGTGAGACTATATATATATATTTTTTTAGTTTTTCTTGAAAAATGAACCCCCCAAAAACTGGGAGAATTTTTTTTTTTTACAGAAACTGACAAAAACAAAATTTTAATGAAAATTTAATCAAAAAGTCACATTCTATAAAAAAACTTCACGTTTCAGTGGACATTTTTTAACCATCTCTACTTAAACCCTATGATGAAATAAATGGGATACAAATGTCATATAGTCCGGGTTCAAGACCTCCGAGCAGGGTGGAATTTCACCCTCTGTGACCATCAAGGTGCCAAAGAAACTTGAATCTAGGAACAAAGAGACTTTGGAATGAATATGGCCTACATGTAATAGTACCCACTTCATGGGGAAATCATTACCAAGAGCCAATGTCAGTCTTGCTGTAAGCAGGTGTAACGCCATTATCTTTCAATGGATTTGCACCCACTTACACCAGGCCTTCATTTAGCCCTAAGATTTTTTTTAACATATACTGTTAACATGAGCCAGTGGCCTAATATTAAAAAATACTGAGCATCTAACAAGAAGGGTTTCTACAGGTATGTTAGCAACAAGAAAAAGGTCAAAGAAAGTGTGGGACCTTAATGAATGGGGGAGGCAACCTAGTGACAGATGATGTGGAAAAAGCTGAAGTACTCAATGCTTTTTTTGCCTTGATCTTCACAGACAAGGTCAGCTCCCACACTGCTGTCCTGGGCAACACAGTATGGGGAGGAGGTGAGCAGCCCTCAGTGGTGAAAG